AGTACACGGTGTAGTCAGTACATAATGAGGTCAGTACATGGTGTAGTCAGTACATAATGAGGTCAGTACATGGTGTAGTCAGTACATGATGAGGTCAGTACATGGTGTAGTCAGTACATAATGAGGTCAGTACATGGTGTAGTCAGTACATGATGAGGTCAGTACACGGTGTAGTCAGTACATGATGAGGTCAGTACACGGTGTAGTCAGTACATGATGAGGTCAGTACACGGTGTAGTCAGTACATGATGAGGTCAGTACACGGTGTAGTCAGTACATGATGAGGTCAGTACATGGTGTAGTCAGTACATGAAGAGGTCAGTACAAGGTGTAGTCAGTACACGGTGTAGTCAGTACACGGTGTAGTCAGTACACGATGAGGTCAGTACACGGTGTAGTCAGTACACGATGAGGTCAGTACACGGTGTGGTCAGTACATGATGAGGTCAGTACACGGTGTAGTCAGTACACGGTGTAGTCAGTACATGATGAGGTCAGTACACGGTGTAGTCAGTACATGATGAGGTCAGTACACTGTGTAGTCAGTATACGGTGTAGTCAGTACACGGTGTAGTCAGTACATGATGAGGTCAGTACACGGTGGTATCAGTACATAATGAGGTCAATACATGGTGTAGTCAGTACATGATGAGGTCAGTACACGGTGTAGTCAGTACATGATGAGGTCAGTACACGGTGTAGTCAGTACACGATGAGGTCAGTACACGGTGTAGTCAGTACATGATGAGGTCAGTACACGGTGTAGTCAGTACATGATGAGGTCAGTACACGGTGTAGTCAGTACACGGTGTAGTCAGTACATGATGAGGTCAGTACATGATGAGGTCAGTACATGATGAGGTCAGTACATGGTGTAGTCAGTACACGATGAGGTCAGTACACGGTGTAGTCAGTACATGGTGTAGTCAGTACATGATGAGGTCAGTACATGGTGTAGTCAGTACACGATGAGGTCAGTACACGGTGTAGTCAGTACATGGTGTAGTCAGTACATGATGAGGTCAGTACATGGTGTAGTCAGTACACGGTGTAGTCAGTACATGATGAGGTCAGTACACGGTGTAGTCAGTACACGATGAGGTCAGTACACGGTGTAGTCAGTACATGATGAGGTCAGTACACGGTGTAGTCAGTACATGATGAGGTCAGTACACGGTGTAGTCAGTACATGATGAGGTCAGTACACGGTGTAGTCAGTACATGATGAGGTCAGTACA